AGCGGACCAAAGCTTTCCAAACTATACCATTAATGCACGATGTGTAACAATATAATATCAAACGACTATAGCTAGTCAAATCGCATCATCATTCATGAACTCATCAACAACATTCAATATTTCATAGTCAGAACATATTACCATTATAGTACTCATAATTCATCATAACAACATACATCATCATAGCCTACCTCAATGGGATTTAAGTCTATATTAGCCTAGGTACTAGAAATATTCATCTTTTTGTTCATTTTATTCCACCCACATATAGTTCATCAAGTTAGCTATTCAACGCTTCAAACAGCGCCTCAAACAGAGTTCTAAAACTCAAATTATGCCCCTTTAAAAATCCCATTGTTGTTTGTCGCCTGGTGTTCGCCCAGTGAAGTAGTTTGCTCGCCTAAGGCTCGCTCGATGACGAGGGAGCGACAGCACCTCCCATTTCTCCTCTGGTCTCCATCGTCTGGAAAAGCTTCTTGCTCGCCTGGCGACGCACCTTTTACTCTTGCATCGCTCAGCGATGGTGCGAGCGAGACAATCCAGTAGCATCACTTTTCCACCTCTTCCATCACTCGGTTGCTCGCTCGGCGTCGCATAGAAGACTTCAACTTCCTATTGCAATTTTGCACATGTTCAGCCTCAATTCATCTTGCGATTTCATACCGTTACAATCCAGATTTTCACATTTTTCATTATGGAATCATTATACAACAACTACACAATATTATAGACATCATATACACAAACTCATGACAAATCAACTTGGTATTCTCATCAATTTCGACATAATTTCATCACAAATGCAACAATCATCAAATCATCATAACCCCAACAAATCCCTACATACCTCTAAACTCCATATCAATTATAATGACAGATCATCGCCCTTACCTTAGATTCCTAGCTTGGGTCTCTTCTCTTTGCGATCTATCAAAATTCCTTTGTGTTCTTCGTGCCCAAACTTTCTTCTCTGTTCTTCCAACGTTTTCACGATCGTACCAAATGAACTATTTCCCCTTATTCCCTTGTTTAACCTTTGAACCCCTAATATTGTTTTGCCCAACTTGTCCTCACTTAGATTTTCACCAATTACCATCTTGCCCTTATTTTCTCTACATCAATTATTCATCTATTTTATTATTAATAATAATTCTAACAAATTTTAAATAATTATGAACTAATTATCCAATAACTAGAATACACCTTACTCATCTAAATTCTCATTATCCCACAACATATCAGCACATCACACATCATACTCAACGAAACATCATATATTCATCAATAATTCAGAAATACTCACAATTAATTAATTAAGTAATTACGAATTTTGAGGTGTAATTGAGACGGTCGTGATTGAATCGATTGCCCAAGCGTTGGCGTCTTAGGCTCGTGGAAGGTGTGTTTGTCTTCGGCTTCTCCGGTGACATCGAGGGAGAAGACATCTTGGGTGGTGGAATGAACGAATTCGACTTGAGGCGTGCTGAGAGAGATATTGTTTCAGAAAACAGAGTATTGTCCGTGGTTGTCAGAATCTAGGGATTCGTCAGCGGCGAGAGAAAGTGGAGTGAGAGTGGTGTAGAGAATGCCTTCGAGAATCTGGAGATTCTCTGGTTTCGCAGAAACGAATGAGGTAAAAGAAGTGTGGAGGTTGTTAATGTTTGAGGTTGTTGAGAGAAGTTCGTTACCTAGGGTTTTGAGTTCGACGACACCGTATTGCTTCGCGATTTTCTTCTTCTTGTTCTTCATTGTTGGAGGTTCCATTGTTTGTTCAGTTGTAAGAGTTGAATGCAGCGACGCAGAAGGTTCTTGTTCTGGATATGAAATTTTAGGTTTTTGTAGGGTAATGAGGTTTAGGTGATATGATTTTTTTTGGATCTTTTCTTAAAATAAGGATGAGACAAATGTTTCTCACAATTTCTTCTAATACTAGAGTGGTTTTGATATTTATGACTAATTATAGAGGTGTTTGTTGGTTGTAGTTATTGGTGACAATTGTTGTAGTAGTATGAATAATGAGATGTTGAATAGAATGAATAGAGTTAGGTGGAGGTGGTGTATACCCATGATTAAAGTATAAGCATGGTGATTGATTTGTAACATATAGATTTGTGTAATAAGGTGAAAAAATTTCTCATGGAAATGAGGGATTGATAAGAGATGTAAGAGAGGGGTTTGTGGGATAGGTTTGAAGAATACTCCATAGATGATATGAAGGGATATGATAAGGGTAATCCATAAGAGAATTTAATTACATAAATGAAAGCACTAATTGTTAGGAAGCTAATTCAAGAATCCTAACAAAACTATGAAACAACTATAAATCTAGAGAGACACTAAAGCAAACTAAGAAAAATAGAAATAAAAGATAACTTTTGATTTTATTGATTCATACATAATATCTCTATGAAACTACATTATATAATACTAATAATGAATCATAAACGTAAAAGCCCAAAGCCCAAATACTAATAAGAGTCCAACTAAAATAGTTATTCACATAGAATACTAAATAATCTTAAATACATAATCTATAATTTATCATTCCTCCTCTATCACTTAGTGTCATACCGATGAACCAACCCCCTAACTCATATTCGCTCTTAGTCTTTCCTTCATCATTTGTCTAGTAGAGAAAAGTATAACTCCTATAACCTCCTCACCCACTCGTCTCGGTCAAGCCAGGTTTGTTCCTTAATGTATCTTTCTAGCATAACTCCTATAACCTCCTCACCCACTCGTCTCAGTCAAGTCAGATTTGTTCTTTAATGTATCTTTCTAGCTTTCTCATACTGACGTTATTTGCTTTCATCAAAATCCTCTTTTTCTCCCATCCCTTCTTTTCCCTCTATCACAAATACAACATTCACACATCCACGAGACAAAACTTAGCATTCACAACGGATTCGATGCTAGAAGATAGATTAAAAAATCGTTCTTTTCCTTATAATCGAACTTCCCAAAAAAAGCCGTATGATTAAGTTATAATTGTATATATTGAGTTTTTTTATATTCAGATGCGATGCATAATACTTAAGTGTTCAACTATGGGAGTAGAATGGACTATATTCTATATGCTTGTTCATGCCTACATAAATTATTAGATGATTTGCATGCAGGTTATGACACAGTACAAACGATTCAAACTAGCAAGCACACCGAGGTAAGTTGCAAATGTTACAGACTGAGTTGATATATTTTGTCTTTGGTAGAATGGACAATGTTTAATGATATATTATTGCAAGTTACACTGTCTTTGAAATATGAACCTAGACAAATGACTTTCTTTGGTCATACCATAACACGTCCAATGTTGTCGAATACATCATTTCACATTGCACATTTATGGAATTTCTCAATACATTTTATGCATGCCGTTTCTAACTCATACTAAGGTTTTTCACCATTACTGTGTGAAATGGTTACAGATTTGCTCAATTCCATGCTTTGCATGTCTTCCTGGATGCTATAATTTAAACTCCTTACAGCAGTTGTGGCTACTTACAGGGCCCTGCATCTAATCCTGAAGCAAACTGTGGCTACTTTAAATGGGCTACTTCAAAGTCTCAGAATAAATAATGATGGTGAATAACATTGAAATCAAAATAATGATGGTGAATAGCATGTCTCTCGTAGTTTGACAGTAAAAGGAATTGAAAACAAAATTAGTTCAGCTATCAATGCTCCTCCATCTCAGCATCTAATTTAGCAACTCCCGACTATATAGTATATACATTTAGTGAATAAATGGTAATTTCAAGTGAAAAGTCTCAGATCTTTTCACAGTCAAATGGATGAGGCCAGCGAGTGTCTATGCCTACAACAAGATGAAGATATAACCTCTTCAGACATACTCCCTCCGTAACGATTTATAAGAAATAGTCAAATTTTCACACTTATTAAAAAATTTTAAATGTTTGTCTTTTTTGAAATATATTTTATGTAAAAACAATTTCAATTGGTTGTTGTTTATAGAAAAAATAAGAGAGAAAATCTATTTAATGCAATTTGCATTTAATTTTACATTAGAAAAGATGTATTTTGAGAAAAAGATGCATATATGAAATTAAATTGATGTTTTTTGCTTATAAATTATAACAAGAAAAGTGTGTGTGCTTTTGCTTATTAAGGAGGGACTAGCTATTTCAGTATGAGAATATCAAAAGAGTAAGTAATATTGATGAGTTATAAAACACAAGCTCCAAAAACAATCCTTTTATTCACGGATATCAAACGATTCAAAGCACTCTTTAAGACAGTTTATACCATTCGACGAATAATGTCAGCATAGTAAAAACATTTCAAGATAAAACAGAGTCAGCGCTACATGCACCATAGAACACAATATTTGAGATCACTCCAAGACCTTCATTCTCAAGACTAGGCCAGAAGACATTAGGCACAACATCACCAACCACTCCAAATACACGACTCACATGAAATAAATTGCAAAGGATCCAAAACATAAGAATATGGGCAATACAGCATCACGACAACATGCAACGCATACTAATAGCAATAAATAAAGGAACTATCAGCCTATTTAGATATGCCAGATCAAAATATTAAGCTCATTAGCAACTTCTACAAAATCCAAAAATCATGAGACCAACAGTAACAATTGAAATATCAGAATCAACTACATTCATCTTCAATCATCTCAGTTTGACGGGAAAAATGATAATTGAGATAAATCAAACTCCTGTAACCTCCTCACACACTCCCTTGTATCGGTCAAGCAAGCCAGGTTTTGTCCCTTAATAGACCTTTCTAGCTTTCTCACTCACCCCAAATAACATATGTAAATAGAGATTCATTAATCTATATAATTCATTATATTGCAGTTAAATAATTTTCTTAATTCATTCGACGCTAACATTATTTATTTGCTTTCATCATAATCTTCTTTTTCTCTCCTCCCTTCTTTTCCCTCTATCACAACTACAACATTCACGCGTGCATGAGACAAAACTTAGCAGGCAAAACAGATTCGGTTCTCAATGATAGATACAACTCGTTCTTTTCTTGTAATTGAACTTCTCATAAAGGTTGTAATTGAACTTCCCATAAAGACTGGATCATTCATTTCTTCAATGTCGTCATTATCAGTATGGGTAAGTCATAATGGCAGATATTGAGTTTAATTCAGAAGTGACGCATACTACTTAAGTGTTCAACTATGGGAGTAGAATGGACCATATTCTATGTGCTGGTTCATGCCTACATAAATTAGATGACCTGCAATGTCATAGTTTTAAAAGACATCATGTTAAAGTATGTGAAGTTATGACACAGTACAAACGGTTCAAACCAGCAAGCACACCGAGGTAAGTTCCATATGTTTACAGATTGAATGAATATATTGTTGTTGGTGGAATAGAGAGATATTGAATGAGTATATTTTTGCAATCTACACTGTCTTTGAAATATGAACCTGGACAGATGATTTTCTTTGGTCATACCATAACATGTCCATTGTTGCAGAATACTCATTTCACATTGCAAATTTATGGAATTTCACAAAACATTTTATACCTGTCTTTCGTAATTCCTACTGAGGTTTTTCACCACTACTTCATCAAACGCTTAAAGATTTGCTCAATTCTATGTTGCAAGGTTTCCAGTATGCTATGATATAGCTTTTAACTTAGACGTTATGATCTGCAGTGCCCACATGTGGAAGGGAGGAACAAGTGTTAAATCTTAAGAATCCGATCATGCTCCAGTTATTTTGATTTTAATGAAAATTCTTGAGGTCTCTCTGCATAGTACTCCCTCATCTGCTAGATATGTTTGCATGATTCATGGCGTCCAGAAAACTCTAGGTACCGAAACATTGTTTTATCTTAGGATGGCAAGTTTTTGTATGTATTGGAGTAATCATGATGGGAAGAGTCCCTTTGATCAAATTCCAACTCATCAAGTGTTACTTGGTGCTGATAGGAAACCATGGCTCACAGCACAGGGAAAAGCTGGAAGGGGCACATCCAGGAAAAAGTTGTAACGGGGAGGTGTTCTTGGGAAAATTGGGGATTATGGTGTTGATTGGCTGGGTTATAAGTTAGTATCGTTAATCTTTAAACGGTTAGAGGGATGAAGCATTAAGAATTTGAAGTTTTAGATACAAAATTGACAGTATCTAAGAACTAAAAAAGGGTTTTACTCTTAATGAGCAACCTATGTCGTGTCTGCAATGAGTTACATTATAGCCACAACTGCTGGCTGCTTAATAATTTGTTTTCAACCTTGTCTCGTGGTGGTTTTTCCTTCTATAATCAGTGTATCACCAAATGCACTAAGTGGTGAATACTAACATGTTTTCCTCCTTACAGGGCCCTGCATCTAATCCTGAAGCAAACTGTGACTACTTTAAATAGGCTACTTCAAAGTCTAAGAATAAAAAGTGATGGTGAATAACATTTGAATCAAAGGATGATTCAAATGCGCACCCTATCCAAATTTCTTTATAATGCAACATGGAGCGCATTCCGGTTTTGAATGATTCTGAAAGGGCAGCCTAATAGAAGGAGATGCCTCTCATAACAAAATTTTGTACACCCTTTTCGACCCATCCTTACCTCCTTACATGCTAAGTAGTTAGCATGTTTCACCGTAGTTGACAGTATAAAGATTTGGAAACAACATTAGTTCAGCTGTCAATGCTCCATCTCAGCGTCTAATTTAGCAACTCCTGGTGATATAGTATATGTATTTAGCGGAAAAAATGGTAATTTCAAGTAAAAAAACTCAGATCTTTTAACAGACAAATGGATGAGGCTAGTGAGTGTCCATGCCTATAGCAGTTTCTAGACTATGATATAATGAAGAAAAATAATATTTTCTTCAAAAAAACAACCAGATGAAGATATAAACCCAGATATAGTTACTTCAGAGCCAAACGAAACATGACAGCAGACATTTGAAACAAAATTCAAGAGAGTTTAATGGGTTTTTTCCTAAATAATATAAGTTGAATTAGAAAATAGTGAATTTGTCTACATATGATTTCACAAGACACAAAAACATATGAATATGGGCAATACAGCATCATGACAACATGCAACTTTAGTGATGCTAATTGTACGCAAACTAGTAGCAACCAATAAAGGAACAATCAGCCTATTTAGATATGCCAGATCAAAATATTAAACTCATTTAGCAACTTCTACAAAATCCAAAAATCACGAGACTAACAGTAACAATTAAAATATTAGAATCAACTACATTATCTTCAATCGTTTCAGTTTAACGGGAAAAAATGATAATTAAGAAACGAAAAAAGTTGTTGAGTTACCCTCCTCTATGTATTTTCTCAAATTAACTTATGCTGGCCAAGGATGTTCAATTCTTTTCCAGATGCTTAACCTTTTCTCCTCTAAAACTGCGGCTGGTCCGTCTGTGAATAAGAATTAGTTTGTTCCTAGAATAAGAGTATGTTCCTAGAATAAGGGAAACAAATCAGAAATTGATTTGTTCTCATTAAATGTAATTATTTAGTGTAATTACGTGTATAGTCCTGTAACCTATATATATATACAAGAAATAACAATGAGAAAGGTATCAAACCTATTTTCCTGACACCGCCTGTGTGTATAACCTGTTTTGTATGAGCCAAAAATCCTGGTAAGTGTTTGCGTGCTCTAAATGATATGTTCTGTATCAAAAATAAGTGTGTTCGTGTGAAAAAATGGTGATAGAGTGACATACTGTGTATGTGTGAGGTGGATACTAAAGGGTGTGAAAATAGTTGTGTACATATTTGGAATCACACAATGAGTTTAAAAAAATCTCGGGGACACTGTCTCCATGAGAGTCGCCGCCAATCCAAGCATGCACTGAGTAGGCAAAATCAGCAGATGAGGAATGTGTAAAACATTGAAACTTGGTGAAAGAAAACGGGCTACATTTGCAGTGAGTAAGAGTGAAAAATGGCGCTGCGCAAAATGAGTTATGAGAGACTAGGAAAATGGGCATCTATGTGTAAGAAATGGTTACTACAAGTGATTTCGTACCATGTACTAGAAAATGGATGAATAATTGAATGAGAAATGTGCAGTTAGGAGGTGGAAATTTCTACAGGATGAAAATTTATTTTATTTGTTTAAAAAACTGTGATTTTTATAACTTTCAAAAAATTAAAATAAATGCAGTGCTAATATGAAAATTTCAAGATTATACTTTCAAAATTAAAATATATATATATTCTGCTTTCTAGAGCTTACAGCAGAAACTGTAAGATCCTTCAAAAGAGGATTATGTCCTATTACTCGAAACAGTAACTAGATGCTGAAAAGTCATGTTGTTAACTGTTATCAAACAATCAAAGCAACTTCTCAAGGCTAAAGATATATATCATCTTAAAACTCAATGCTTATGAAACAAACAATAGGACCTTATCTGCATACCACCTTAGACGTAGGCAAATTATCAGATGTGCAGAATGAGCAAATTACAAGAGGGAAAAATTAATAATGTGAATTCACATAGATCATGTATTTCCAACTATTTAATTAAAAGGAAAACTTTATAAACAAAATCTCACATGTAGAGTCGATAATTTGAGAAGACAAGTTTCATGGACTTCTCAATCTTCGTCATCGGAGCTTGCCTCATCACTACTATAATCACTACTATCAGTTCCTCCGAGATCCAAATTAACATGCTGCACTTGAATAACTTCCGGCTGCTTGGGCTGAGGAGTGTGAGGGGGTAGTTTCGGTTCCTCAAATCTTGATACTGGAAGTGGGTCAATAGGAGGCAATGCCACGGGATCCCCTGGTTTCCACCCAGGTGGAGGCTTAATTGGCATATCAATAGGTAATTGTACAGGCATTCCAGGTTTCCAACCAGTCGGAATAGAAAAATTAGGAGGAAGCATCCCTTGAATTGCAGACAAATTTGCAAGTGGATTGGTATCCACGGGCTGTAACGGTGGAGGAGGCTCAATAATAGCCTCAACTGTTTTCTCCTTATTTTCAACTTGTTTAGGCAATCCAATATCAAGATCTGCAAAGTTATATAGCTGCGTAGCTCTCATTTGTTCCTCTTGTGGTGCAGGTGGCATTGCACCGCGAAGAGGGGCCGTTCCTGCTCCAAATTCCGGTGGTGCAAAGGTTGTATAACTTATTCGATGAGCATATGATAATATATCAGACAGTTTCAGCTGAAACGAGACAGTTGAGGTGGTTAAAGAATCATCTCCGCTAACATCTCCTGATTTCAATCTCTTGTTGCTGCAGCGATAATCGGAGTAATCCTCAACAAGGATGTCAAGTTCGCGCTCAGCATCTTTGAGCTTGTTGGCAAATGCAAGAATTGCTGAATCTTTTGACCTGATTTCCCCGTCAATCGTCTTCTTGGCATCTTGTAGATCAATAATTTCTTGGAGTTGAGCAAGAGATTCAAGGATTTGAGTCTGAAGGGAGGTGAAAAGTGAAATAATTTGTTTGGTGGAGGAAGGCGAAGAAGACTCAAGCAAGGAAGAAGAATGTGATTTGGCTTGGGAAGAAAGGAATGTTGGGAGTGATCCACGGAATGCAGTGAGCCAAACCGCTCTATTGGGTGATACTTCAAAAAGTTTTGAAGCTAAGGTAGCCATTTGAGCAAGAAGTGCCTGTGCTCTAGGGAGAGGTGGTAAAAGAGAGAGTAGAGCAGCTGAAGGAGTTGCAGAACGGTGGTTTTGATGATGATGAGTTTGTGAAGGAGGTAGCTTTTGTGGGTTAGGGTTTAAAATTGATGGTGAGTTAGGGTTTGTAAGACCTAGCCTAGCAGGGGACTGAAGCATTTTGTATCAACGCCTTTTGTGTATCTCTAGTTGCCTGTTTGGTTCCGCGTCCAAACTTGGTTTATCACATCCCAGTGCTCTTTTGACCGTGATTTGAGGTCGAAGCAGCTCCTAGATATGAATGTTGTGTTCTCTAAAAATGATGGTTTCGTTGAATTTGGTAACCCGTCGTTGTGATTGGGGAATTAGGGTTCAAATACTGGTTGATGAAGAATATTTTAGGGGTTACTTTGGTAATTTTATTCATGCTTAATTCATTGTTTGGTAATTTTACTTTGCTACATTTTTTACATTTTTATCTTTCTAGTTTCTACTTGTTTTTTTTTAACCATGTTAGTGTTTTGTTTTTTATGTACTAATAGAACCCAAATTTTTATATATAATTGTTAATTTACTGATAACAACTATTTAACTATTATTAAAGCATTCACTAAGATGAGTAAAATAGTTCTTGCAACAAATTAATTTACAAAGAGCAAAGGGTATTTCAGTAATCAATAAAATGACATTTCATTTTTTTAACTTTTCACTAACCATGCGTCAATTGTCGGTCTGTCATTGGTCCAAATTAAAATAAACTTTTTTCCTCCAATCCAAACACACAACCTTTCTCTTTCTATCTTTTGTTGTCACAATCTCTCTCTCTCTCTCTCTCTCTCTCTCTCTCTCTCTCTCTCTCTCTCTCTCTCTCTCTCTCTCTCTCTCTCTCTCTCTCTCTCTCTCTCTCTCTCTCTCTCTCTCTCTCTCTCTCTCTCTCTCTCTCTCTCTCTCTCTCTCTCTCTCTCTCTCTCTCTCTCCCCTCCCCTATTTTTCCATTAAACCCTACTAATCGTCGCCCCTTTCTCTGGCCACCAACACCTTAAATGAAAAAAAAAATCTATTTTTGTATTCCTCATCTCACGGGCTTTCCAATGAACCGGTTGGATTTTTCTTTCGACCGATCTCGCTGTCAAGCACCGCCTCTCCTTCTCCGACAATCATTACTCATCACCATCGTCGTCATCACCATCGTAGGAGAAAGACGGTGTATCTTTGTTTTAAGATATGTTTTGCTTTTTAGACTTTTTTATTTTATTTTTTCGATTTTAGGGTTTTGATTTTTCTAATATTTCATTGTGTTGCAGTTTGAATCTGTTTAATCATTGATTCATTTTTATTGTGGGTTTGTAGAAATTTGATATTGATTTGGTTATGTTTGTTGTTATTGCAAGGTACATATTCAAAATGTCTCAATCATTACTCCTCAGGAATCCCCTTATACTACTGGAATATAGTACCAGGTTAGTAACATATGATAAATGATTTCATAGTGAATTTTCTAATTTTTAAAAAATTTCCTTGTGTTTTCTGAGAGAAGATAGAGAAACAAAGAGCTCATGAGCTTTACATGAAACTTCAAGAGCAAGAAAAAATAAAACAATCAAGGAAAGATATAGGTACGAGTTTCTCTTGAACCAAACATGAGCTTACTATGTCCTCTTCTTGAAGTAATTCAACTATGTGAGATTTGAATTCCTCTAATGTTCTATATCCTTGTCTTTCAGATCATTTAGCTCTGATACGACAAGAAAGAGCTAAAGCTACCAAAAAGAGAGAAGAAGAGAGATTGGGTACATTTCGAATAAAATTTATTTTTTGACATGCCCTGAAGAATGAAGTTCGCATGATAATTATAACTTTTGTTTCAGCCAAAGAACGGAGGAATACTTGCAGTAGCTATATTTTAACATTTTATATGTCCATTCCCTTTATATTGAATTTGAACATTCCATGTTGGTAGCATCTTTCTCTTCACTTAATGTCTTAAACTTTAAGTTTTATGTTTTATTTCTCCTTATGTGGCTCTATTAGGTTTCAAGATCTATTATGTTTCTGTTGATTTGCAAATACTTGATTTTCTATTATCTTGGTGGTTGTGATTTAAAGAGTATTCATGATGTAAGCATATTTTAGAGGCTTATGGTTTTTTATGTTTCTTTCAATGAAATTTCTTCGATTCATGGTGTATCTAGGATTTGTAATACACCCAAGGAGCTCTATGTATCCAAAATAAAGATACTAAAATTGAGGAGATCGGTCACTTTCATCAATTGCAGCTTTTGGAAGTCTACTCTAACAAATTATGGGCTAATTAGTTTATTATATTATGTGTGTCAATATGACGGCATTAAATAAATGTTTAGGCTCAAGAGTTTTAGCATGTTTTGACATTTTAACAATTCCAATATAGCATTGAACACTTCTTTGTTAACATTTTGTACTTCATTTTGTTGAATAAATGGTTAACACCATCTTACTATATCAATGATTTTTGTGGTTAGTTGGTTGGAAGATGCAAGACAACATGCAAATGCGAATATGACAATTATGCTTATTGGAAACAAGTGTGATATTCCTCACAAATGGATCGTAAGCACTAAAGAAGGTGAAAAGTTTGCAAAGAAGGATTTGATTTTGCCTATATGTAACATCTCTTTATTTTATCTTTCATATGCATTTTGTGTTTAATGGCTTTCTTTTTCTATGTGATTTACATCACAGGCCCCTTCGCAACTTAAGAACCATTGTTACAAGCAAACGAGCTTAAGAAGTGATTTGATCTAGAAGGTTTGAACATCTCCTTTATAACATTGCTGAAATAATTTTCTTCTCGAGTGTTATAATCATTCTGCAGACATCTCTTTGGAAAAGTCGGTTGTGGCTTCATGTGGAACTGGAGTAACTGTGTGCACTCTTGCATTGGTATTGTGATATCTCTTCTCTAAGCCTATGTTTTATACTCTGTTTTTGGACGGGATGCTCAGGTTCTCAATCTTAAGTCAAAGCATTTCTAACTTGACTTCATGCATCCTACTTTGTTCAAGGTATTCCTTTGAAAATTTGTATGGATGGTTCAGTATAATTATATATAGAGATTAACATTAACCTTAAAACTAAATTATAATGCTCCCCTTTGATATCTATTATAATTATGTGATATTCTAATGTCTTATAAGCTTGATTCATATCTTTTAGGCTTGCAAATCAATGACATTGAATCATGTTGTCAAGAAGAGATTGTTGTATATAAATAATATGTTGAAAGAAGGGTAAGATCATTGATGTCAAATTCTTATATTATCTTGTGCGTAATTCTATTCCTTGAATTAATTCGACTGATATTTTACCTTTTGTTTGTAATTTCAACATGTTGCATCACTCACCATAATATTTGAGAGAGACATGATAACAACAATTCGATTTTATTAGATCTGCAGTCATCATGTAGATGTGCCTTAGGGTGTTGCCTATAATATCGATCCGCTAGAAGGAATACATGAAGATTCTGAACAAAAACTTGTGCTTGGAGGAGAATTTTGCATGTTGGGTGAGGTAGCTGATACATCAGATGTTCAGTAAACAATATGGCCTTGAGCTGTTACAGCAGCAGGTTAGTTGTCTTAGAGTTAATTTAACTGTATATATTCAGGAGCTGAACCATCTTTTAGAAGTTGAACCATTGCATGACGCAGATCAAAACTTTCTACTCCTTTGTCAATTATTTGATGTATGTCATGTATGTTTTTGAACCTATTATGGTATGTATGTATTATGCTTGATATTCAACCTGTTTTGCAGGTCTGGCATGGTGAGTATGTACAGGTTTTAGGGACTTGGGCTGGTGCCACTACGCCAAAAATAAGCTTTAGCAGCACATAAAAGAAAGTGCTTTTGGAAAAAAACGCTGCTGTAGGTTTTAAAAAAAATCGCTTAAAAAAGCGCTTTCAAAGGGTGCCTTAAGAAAGCGCTTTTCAAAAGCGCTTCTAAAGGTCACCCTTAGAAAGCGCTTTTTGGGAAGCGCTGCTAAAGCTGGCCTTTCAGAGGGTACCTTAAGAAAGCGCTTTTCAAAAGCGCTACTAAAGGTCAGCCTTAGAAAGCGCTTTTCCAAAGCGCTGCTAAAGCTGGCCTTTAGAAAGCGCTTTTAAAAGCGCTGCTATAGGATATGCTACGAAAGCATTTTTTGATGTAAAAGCGCTGTTATAGATGACCTTTAGAAAGCGCTTTTAAAAGCGCTTTCGTAGGTAGTTATTGTGGCCCATTAGTTAAGCCCATACCTGAATTATTATTATAAGTTATTCAACAAAAACCCTTGTTGGAAACCATTTGCAGTATAGCCGCTCATCTTCGTTTCTCACAGCATCCCGTGAAGCCGCTCCAAAATGGTTCATTCGTTTTCACACTACAAGAAAATTAGTGTTTAACGACACAAAAATTGCGACAGTTATGTGATAACTATCGTAATTGACATATAGAGACAGTGTTTACGACAGTTGACACCAACCGTCCCTAATATTTATTTTGCGACGGTATATTTAACCATCATAATATTATTATTACGACGGTAAAACAACCGTCGGCCCCCATTTAACACTTTTAACATTGATTTTTCACCAACAACTAGTCACGACGGTAAAATTAACCGTCCTAAAAGGCATATCACGACGGTAAAGCACCCGTCGCACCCTTAAACCTTTCACGACGGTAAAATTATCCGTCCTAAAATTCATTTCACGACGGTAAAACAATCGTCGCACCCAAAACCTTTAAAAATTCTCATGGGCACGACGGTAAAACACCCGTCGCCGTAAAAAAGTTAAAAAGCTCTTAAAATACATAAAACATCAATTCACTTTCTACTCCGTAAACATTATAAATATCACTAAATAAAGTTTATTACCACCGTGAGCCACCCTAACCACTGTGTAATCATGTATAATGGTTGCAGTCTCGTTAGTTGTTATAGTGTAGGCATAGATGATAGAACATCTTATAATGATTTTGGAATTGTTAATACATTTTAACTTAGTAGAATCTGTTCTTAGTCCCTCTCATGTGATGAATTTAAATTTAGTTCACATATGGAACATACATATTCTACTATCCAAGTTCTGTTAAATTCTTATGTAACCAAACAAGCTACATTTTCTTTTGTTTTGATTTCAGGTGGCATTGGCAACAGCAGCAAAAGCAAAATTACTTCTTCGTTAGCTAAAAACCGTTAAAGCGGATTTAGCATTTGCTTTAAAGTTAAACTTACTCATAAAATATCTTAGAATCCCTAATCACAAACCTCATGTCCTCCTCCAACGACCTTCGCTCCCAAGCCGAAAATATCTTCAACCTATGCAAACAAACCTACCCCGATTCCCTAATCCTCAAACTCGCCCAACTTCTCCACACTTCCCCGAACCCTGAAACCCGCACCATTTCCACAATCCTCCTCCGCCGCCACCTCACGCGCCACCACGACGACTCCTTCATCTACCCACACCTAACCGCCTCCACTCAATCCACTCTCCGTTCCCTCCTCCTCTCCTCTCTCCATCAAGAGCCTGTCAAATCCATTGCTAAGAAGCTATGCGACACGGTTTCTGAACTTGCTTCTGCACTTCTCTCCGAAGACCTTGCTTCGTGGCCTGACCTACTCCCGCTTCTCTTCCAGTTGTTTACTTCACCTGACGCTAGGCTTCAGGAGATTTCGCTACTTGTGTTTGCTCAATTGGCTCATTACATAGGTGAAACCCTAATTCCTCAATTGTCTACTATTCACTCTGTTTTCCTCCGCAGCCTTAGCGCTGCTACATCGTCATCAGATGTCCGCATCGCTGCTCTTGCTGCCAGCATCAATTTTGTTCAGTGTCTCTCCAATCCCTCTAACCGTGACAGGTATTACATATTCCAATTATGCTCATATTTGAACTAACTTGAATTGAACGAATCCATAGGTTTCATTCCAAAATTGAGATGTGTTTAGTTATGTTGTCTATAGTGCAGATTTGAACTATGCTCCAATTTGGACTAACTTGGAATGAATTTATAGGTTTAATATAAAACTTGAGATGGACTTAGTTATGTTGTCAATAGCATGCAATAGCAGTGCATATTTGAATTATGCTCCAATTTGGATTAACTTGAACTGAACGAGTTTATAGGTTTCATATAAAAATTGAGATGGACTTACCTTTTGATTATTGTTGATAGATCTGAATTATGCTCCAATTCGGCGTCTCTTGTTTGAATGGGTAATATTTAATAGAAGTTACAGTTTGATGGTGTTTTGCTTTAAAGAATGCTATCATATTTTTCCGGAATTGTTGATGTTCAAATTTATTTATGGACTAATAAAAAATTAAAATTTGTATGTAGGGTACTAAACATATATTATTTAGAAATGATATTATCGAATTTTTATTCCTCTTGAAAGTTGATTGAACAAGTTGCATTGATGGATGCTAAAGAACCAATTTGAACTGATAGCATCTTGCTCTTTTTCGAAAATGCAGGATTGAAGAAGCTGAAGCACAGTGTGCTTTGTTGAACTCTGAATCATTATGCGTAAGCACTTGTCTACTTTGTAATTATCAGTTATTTTTGGGATACTAGTACTATTGCTGTTTGCTAATATCATGATTGTTGTCATTCATTGTTGAGAATTATAGGATGGATGTTTCAGTTCAGATTCATATATATTTCTCTTTGGTGCAAGGACAGTGTACAGGGAAATCTGCCTTGGTGAGTATATCATTTGGTTTCGTTTTTAAATATTATTGTTGAATATATTTTTGTGCTAATTGTATTTTTCGTATAAGTTCTAAGGATTTTTTTGTACTTTCATATGACTTACAAGATTTTTTTTTATTAATGAGTTAGGAGATGGTGGATATGTTGTATGTTATAAGATGGCAGAGATTGAAAATAAACTTGGATTGGGACGGGATTCATTGGTAAATTTCTGATTGATGTTTTAACATAAGAGTCACAATGCTTTCTTAGACGATCTTTCATTGTTTCTTGTCAATTCAAAATTCAAGGGTATTGAGTTCTTGTTCTGGTGAAAATCAGTAACCGAGTAACCCATGATCTTCATATTTCTCTCTCTTTGCTTCTCGGCAGTGACTATCATCAAGGAGTCCACGATTCGAACTTCAAACCCTTCAAATTGGTTTTTACGACCAAGATATGCAATGGAACCGAAGCCGACGAAGAGGAGGCTTTTTCCGGTTTTCTATTTGGCACGAGATCGGCTTCAGGTATGATGTTCTCTAATTTATGCATCTTTCCTCTTCTACTCCATCTTTTCTGCGATCCTGAATGTGTTGTTAATGGGACGAATTTGTTGATTCCGTGATATTGATAGTTGTAGGTGATTACGGGCAAAGCTTTTGCAGGTCACAGTTTGTGAAGGTGGATGTAGCAGGTCTAGAATTCTGATTATATGTATTCGTGGGCTTTGGTTTCCATTCCTTATTAAAAAGAGCTTTTCGAGGGCCATTTAATTGTTGAGACCGGTTATTGTAATTAGAGGATGGAAGACTAACTGAAGGGCTTCCGAGAGTTACCGATGATGATGGGGATGGTATCTCATTGCCATGATTTTTTTCCACTCTCGGGGATTTACCTTGAATCTTTTATTTCATAGAAGAGCTACTAGTCTCAGAAAAAGCAGTTAATTTGTTCTTGGCTGAGTTAACAGCATTTGATTCTCCATGAGAGTGTTGGTTTTCCACTTCGCGTCTAATGGCACCAACAACACCAGGAAGCCATGAGTTATCAGATGGAACCAATACTGGATCAGAAGAATAGAAGTGAACAATCGTTGAGGATGTCGGCCCAGTTTCAGAAGCAACAGTTGCAACTTGATTTGATTTATCAGGAGATGAAGTACTATCCACATTATTACTATTATTTCTAGATAATTGAACCATTATGTCTCTGTTTCCAACAGATGGTGGGGAAGCTAAAGGAAACATGAAACTGTGGTGGATCTAAGCTTGTGATAAGGTGTTTTTCTTCTTCTTTGATTCAGTTGATCTGTTGTTATGATTCAATATTTTTGTTTCTGAATGCTGTGAAATTAGTGTTGATGTTGGAAGGTAATGGTTGTGTGTGAGCAGTAGCATTCTCGGAGGGAGGTTATGGAAGGGGTTGTTTGGTGTATGGAAAAGGTGAGTATTGTATGGAAGGGGTTGAACAAATACTAATGCATAATATAGGAAAGGACGATACCATTTTACAAGTGATTGATGCTTATTTGAAGCCAAAATGCCACTCAGCTAATTCAGACTTTGTGCTCAAGTATGTTATTTAATTCATTGCTTCCAGTTCCTTTACTATACTCAATATTGATTGGAATTTAGAATATACTAATCAGAACCTACGAAAGCTATATGTTAATGGTAAAGTTTATCTGCTATAGTTCTGAATCTGGTTACTAATTAGATACGCACTTAAAATAAGAATTTGCAAAAATTTCTGTAGGGCTCATTCTCAGTATCCATTTCAACGTACTAAGCTCCATCATATATGCGTTGTATACTTCGAATGGCCTTCGGAGAGAACAGGTACTTTATCTAATTTCAAATGCTTATTCTTGTAACTCAAGAATTTGTGCTCCGAGTCATGTCATTAGTCTTAGTCAAGAATTGGTATATGCTACCTCTTGGATGAAAATTTGGAAGTTGTTTGAAATGCTGATTGTTGGTTCATGAAATAGATGGATATATCCTTCCATGTATAGCCGAAAGGGATTTACGACGATTTGCCAATTTGCGATCAACTTCGTCTGAACTTGGGTTGAACCTTCCTTTACATGAGGTACTGCTAACTCTATTCCAATGGAAGACAGGTATATTAATTTGACGCATTTAAAGTTAAATTTTATGAGTATTATTTTAAAGATTATTATTTTAATACCTTTTTTTAGGGATTGGAATCACCCGCTGATGGTAGACGTTCATCTGAGTCTAGCTACCGTATTGGAGATAATGGAACTTCAGGGGGGACAAATTAGACTTTGCTATGATCGAGATAATTAGATTGTGAACTTTCTCATGTATTTTTGGCATAATGATACTTATTATTATAAGATTAGGAATTGATATATTTTGGGTTTTTTGTACTACTTGACATGATTATGGAACTCGCATTTTACATGATTATGGAACACACATTTTTTTGGATATTATAATGCTTATTTGATGTTAAATATTTTTTATTGAAATTATTTTTACTATATTACAAAGTGATAGAAAATAAAACAAAAAATAATACTATAAATAAATATATTAAAGAAGAAATAATTTAAAGAAAAAAATAACACAAAAAAAAACTATATTTAAAATTTTTTACATAGATAATAATTTAAATAAAAAATATATATAATAGAAAAATAAAAAAAAATCAAGACATAAACAAAAGTCATGGCGACAGTACCGAACCGTCGTAATCAACAAAAGTCATGACGGTATCGAACCGTCGCCAAAAACAATTTAATCAATTTCAAAAGATATTCACGACAGTATCGAACCGTCGCCATCAATAATTAAAAGAAACTCAAAAGATAGTCACGACGGTATCAACCCGTCGTAAACTTGAACGACAGTTTTTGTAACCGTCGCGAAATAGGTTGGGGACACACACTTCTGCGACGGTAAAGCAACCGTCGCGGAAAGCAAATTGCGACGGTTTTAACCGTCGTAATCTACAAAAATACCTGTCGCAATCTGCCAATTTTCTTGTAGTGTCACAGCTTGTTGAATTTTAAACTGTTATTCTAATTTCATTCTTATGTGATTATTTTTTGTGATTTTGGTTACAGACTAAGAGAACCAAGAAGGTCGGTATTGTTGGCAAATACGGTACGTTCTATCAATTTTCTTACTTTTCAACATTTTGTCTTGTTTGTTGTGCTTTTCGGTTTCAGATTTGTTTGTTTTGTAGATATTTATTTCATTTCAATTCACTATAAATGTGTTTGTTCTAACCCTAAAAACTTTGCGGGTTTTTTAATTTCAATTAGGTTTAGCTTAGATTTATTTGCTTCTAATTTAAATGAAATTCTCAGCTAAGATGAGTTTATGGTTTTTGTGTCGTAAATGGTGATAACTGATAGGTTTGTGTTCTAATTTCAGGCACCCGATATGGTGCTAGTTTGAGGAAGCAAATTAAGAAGATGGAAGTCAGTCAGCACAGTAAATTCTTCTGCGAGTTTTGTGGAAAGGTAGTTTTTTTAAGGTGTTTTGTGACGATTTTTTTCGATCTGCATTGGTTGATTATGTTCTCAATTTGTTGTATGTAGTATGCTGTTAAGAGAAAGGTTGTTGGTATTTGGGGCTGCAAAGATTGTGGGAAGGTCAAGGCTGGTGGTGCTTACACTTTGAAGTAAGAATCTTGCTCAAAAAACATGTTTTCTCAATTGATTAATTGCTTGTATATAGTTGCTAACCTTGTGATTTTCTTTGTGCTTATTATTTTGACAGTACTGCCAGTGCTGTGACTGTTCAGAGTACCATCCGAAGGTTGAGGGAGCAGACTGAGAGTTAGAAAGGAAGCAGTATTACAATTTTGTTATTTTTTGTTTTCAAAGTTATTGCAGAAACTCTTGTACGTCCTTAATTATTGTTATATTTGATTTGGATATTTGAGGAAGGTTTTGTAAGTGTATCAGTTATCTTTAGATTATTGAGTACTATTTAGATTATTGAGTACTATTTAGTTTGAGCCACATCTTCTTGATATTCTTATGAATTACAGGTTATGGCAACTGGTTTATATAAATAATATGTTGCAAACAATGCAGGTATATGAATTATATAAATTATACCTCTAAAAAAAACACCATATGAAAGCGCTTTTTTAAGAAAAACGTTGCCTTAGGTAACCTATGAAAGCGCTTTTTCACAAAAAGCGATGTCTAAGGTAACCTATGAAAACGTTTTTCCAGGCAAAAGCGCTGCTAAAAGACCACCTATGAAAGCGCTTTTCCAGAAAAAAGCGCTGCCTTAGGTAGACCTATGAAAGCGCTTCTTCATAAAAAAGCGCTGCCAAAGAATACATATGGCAGCGCTTTTTTGTTAAAAAAAAGCGCTGTCTAGACCTACGGCAGCGCCACCATAGGCAACACTTTTAAGTGCTGCTAAAGGGAAAAAAAACGCTTTCTTAGGTCTTTTTTGGCGTAGTGTGCCTGAAGTCCATTTAGAAGTTAATATTTGTGAGTGCTAGAAAGAGAGTTGAAGAATAGAGAGAGATGGGAAGAGAAAGAGTGGAACTGAAGAGAATTGAGAACAAGATCAACAGACAAGTTAGCTTTGCAAAACGAAGGAATGGTCTTTTGAAAAAAGCTTATGAGCTTTTTGTCCTTTAGTAGTCGAACAACCTACTAAAATTATTACATAACTGAACAATTTACTAGAATTATTTATTAGTTGATGTGATGACAAAGCAATTGTTATCTTTTAGTTTATTAGTTAGATAATATTTGCATATTTTTAGCAATGCAACTATTATGGATTATTTAGTGGGCTGGTTTTCTTTGTATTGGTTTGATTTCTACAATGTGAATTTCTACAATATTAATGTTATCTTTAAGAATAATTTTTTCATTGTTTATATAATGTTTTAAATACATTTCCATCATTTTTGTTATTTTTAGAAATTTGGATTTTGATTCTTAAGAATTGTTATAGTCTACGAGTTAGAATATTTTTAAAATTTTGGATTAGTGATGTTGCTTCTGTCATGATTCTTGGTAATCCCGAGAGTCAAAATAAAAGGGTGATGACATAAATGACATATGTGATACGGTGACAGAACCGACTGTTTAGTTACTACTGGTTTTTGCGTTTTTTGTTCGCAAATATGCGGTAAGCAAGAGTCTCCATCGTTTTTTATTTTATCCAACAAAAGAAAAGGGAAAAAGAATAGAAAAAACCTTTTTCGAGATGTTTCTGAGTATGGGGGGTAAATTATAGAAAGGGAAGGTGTTAGCACCCTTTCTATCAGTGGTTTTCCACGGGCTCTTAGGTACTTGCTCATTTTTAAATTGCTTTTATGCTTGTGTTTTGAAATGTTTTTGTTTACGTCGCGATAACTCTTGTATCTGTCCTCAAGAGTGTGACGAAGTTGTTTTTGAAAATTATTTTGAAAGTGTTTGTGAAAAAACATTAGTTTTTGAGCAAGTACCTAACAGTGTCTACCTACTCGAAAAAGGATGTTCATTTTCTCGTTTCCTTTAGACAGCACTATCCTACTATTAAGGAGTAGCTAGCCCTATCGTTGGATGTTTAAGGGACTATCGAAAGGGACGTTTTTACGGCCACAAAAGCAATAGTTAGGAAACTTTAGTAATTACCATAAAGTCCTAAATATCTTTCTGAGGCAACATTCGAATGGGTCATTTTGATCTTTTTGGACTGGAGAGTGACCACTAAAACTCCTTATGCTTCATAACCGTTTTACCGAAGGCAGCCAAAATGGTGATACCCTAGGGGTGCGTATGTGCGAGTGTATTTGATTTCAGATATATTAGTCTTTGTGTTTAGTTTTCTAGCGATTGGTTTTATCTTGTTCATGCAATCCTATTAGCCATACATCTAACAGTTAATATATGTACAAAAATATAAAGTGCGAAAACGTAAGTTCCTACGCTATTACATGGCTTCGGGGAGAGGGATTTAATTACAAGTCCAAAATCGAGAGAAATATAAAGGAAACGATAAAAATGCCTTACAGTTTGGCTACATTGATATGTACAGGAATATAAAAGTGCGAAAGAAGAAAATGCGCGCGAAAAATTAAATACGGGAATTAAATTTTAAATTCTAAGAAAACTTAATTAATGAAAGAAAATATTTTTTGTTATTTTTTATTTTTTAGGAAAAAAAATTAAGTTAAAAATGAAAAGAAATTAACTATAAATAACCTAATATTTTTGTATTTTTATTTGAGAAAAAATAATTAACTTGCAATTTTAACCTAATTTCTAGCTAATTTTAATTATGAAAATAAACCAAATTATCCTAATTAAACTAATCTATTTTCAAAATTAATTTTAATAAATAAGGAAGAAAAAACTAATTCTACATTTTTTTTGTGATTTCTTGATTTTATGATGTTTATGATTTTTTTAATAAAAGGATAATAATTGAAATAAAAGAAAATAAATAAAGCAAAAAAGAAAAATGGTCCGCGCTGCAAAAATGAAAATGAGGGGTGAAAAAGAAGCAGAATTAAAAGCCCAAACTGGACAAAGCCCGGTTCTACGCTGGATCCAGTGTGGATAACGTTTTGGGGTGCACCACAGGGACGCGACTTTGAGGCTTTAGATTTGGAATTTTTAGATTCCTACGTCAAAACTTAAAAGCAATGGTTCTAAAACATTCTAAACATTAGTATGAACATGCATGAACGCTTATAAACCATTTACAACGTAAGAATTGAGAGTTTGTAATTAAGAATTTTTACCCAACCGGAGCTACTTGGTGCGACTGTTTTGGGCGTGGACTGGCTTGGCAAGAGGCCTGAGTAGACTCCTGGAAGTCTCAGAAATGTGATTTACCCACTTGTTTGGACTAATAGCACCTGGTAATATAGATGCGAACTCTTGCAACTTTTAGCAATTTTTTTGAGAATTTTGTAGAGATTTCTTGAAGAGGAACTTCGTGTCTTTCAAGCTTGTATGAATCTATATTTATAGAGGAGAATGAGGAGACAAGAAAGCATGGAAAGAATCTCCCTTATAATGTTGTGTTTTAAGACCATGATCAAAATTTGAAAAAATGCCATATTTGATGATTTCATGCCATTTTCACATGTGGATGAACCTGGACATATTTGAAGGGTTATTGCACGAAATCAATTGACATAAACCAGCATAAAACTTGCCCAAAATAGATTCACATCAAAACTTACATTATTTCTATTAATTATTTATTTAATTCTGAATTTTAATGAATAAAATATCAAATTAAATAGCATAAATAGTATAAAAATGCATGGGCGGGCTTAGAGTTCGTGGACCATGTTAGGAATGAGTTTCAAACTTGAAAAGATAGGCCCATTTGGAAAAAATGCAAGTTTGGTCAATATTTGCTTCATGTATTTTCTAAAAATTTGCCAACTTTGACAATGTATATCTCTCTCAATTTTAACCCTATGAGGGTGTTCTTGGACTTTTTAGAAAGCTTATGATGTCTCCTAAACAACCCTTTTGGTTTAATCTCAATTGGATCTTCCATGTTAATGTAAGGAGCTTTGACCCAAAAGGCATTTTTGTTGACTTTTTATAAGGACCTATAATGTCTGAATTTATATCTTTAAATGAGTACTTTTCTGGAACTTGAGGGCTGAAGAGAAGTTGTAGAGAATTGAATTCTCTTAAAAATGAGCCTTGGTGGAAAAATTTATGATAAAGTATGAGAAATTTATGCCTGATCAACGTTTGGTTGACTTTTCCTATAGAAACCCTAATTTAGCAACTTTTGAGTTTTGATGAATTAGGAGCATTCCTTGAGGAATCATGATCAACCCTTGATCAAATGATAGATATTACTTCAAAATGTTGATGTTGACCAAAAATATTGAAGTTTGACTGTATGTGGGTCACAGTTGACTTTTGACCTAGTACATTTGATTTCAGGCATTTGAGCAGTTGATTGAGCAAACTTCTTGTGCAAGGCATGAAACTTGGCATGGATGATCTTGACGTTTATACATGATTGAGAATTGGGTTAACATAATTGAAGGATAAGGTGTCACTTTTATCAACTTTTTTACTTCTATTTTCAATGGAAAACAATTCTCAATGTCATGCTCAGGGGAGTCTTGGTGAAAATCACAGAAAGTGTCAGCCTTGTACCACCAAGGAATTACTTATGTGATAGCTAGCGGTGATCTTTTCTGGACCGAGTTCTTCTGCATCAGGATAGGAAACAACTTTGTATATGTCATTGGTATTGGATCAAACTGAGTTTTTTCTCTGACCAGGAGCTTGCTGGTTAGGGAGCTTCGGAAGTTGTATTTACCATAGGGGTGACAGGAAGAACGCGTTATCGCTAATGATGATATTCTCTTCTTTGGGGTCTCCTTGGTACTCAATGCAGTCACAAATGATTTGTAAGAGTTGGGTTAACCGATGGCATAATAGTAGCAACTTGTGGATGTCAATAACTCCTTTTTCTACATCTAGGTTTCCTTTTCCCTTCTCGCGAAGTATCAATGGAGTCCTGCTCTCTTTTCTTGGTGAAGCTATCACCATACCTCCTTGCATTATTTTTCGAGTTACCATTTTTAGACAAACGTTCCTCTAGGGAATCTTCTTCCAGAAGCACTCCCACATTCACTTTTTCAGGGAAATCACTAGGTGTGTTGACCTTCTCACGAAAGAACAATTTCAGAATTTTTATGAAGACCTTTTCCATCTCTTCTTCCTTCCTAGAAGGATTGACTTGGGCAGCAACCAAAGTTTCAAATAAAGCAGTTAGATATTCCATACCAACCTTCAAAGTATTTACCTCTTTGCGTAGTTCAAAAATCTCTTGCTTAAT